ATCCAAAGTATTGCACGGGGCTGCTCTTACAGGTATTTGGGGGTTTGTCTAAATCCCATGCGGCCTCCTATACTCGCCCTGAAAGACGCCTCGAATCTGAAAACCCTCACAATGAGAGCGAGGTCTCATGTTCCTACGTGGAACGCCCAGGAGCAAGACAACGTGCTTTTTAAAGCTCAGAAAGAAGCCTGTTACCCCGAGAAGCCAAGAGGGTGGTAATAACGGGAAATGGTGGCGTTTATAAACTGAAGCTCCAGCGCCGAGGCTGCAGGAGAAGCCGAGCCCAGAGCAGGGGACAGCTCCTGCCGCCCGGGAGTCAGTCCGAACGTCTGAATGTCCGCCCTTCGGGGGCACCTTCCCTGGACACAGGGGCAGGAGCAGCAGCTGGTCTCTGTGCCACTTGGTCTCCACTCGAGGGCCGGCGTCTAGGGGCACTTCCTGCTGGAGGGGAGGGCCAGGACGGCGAGAGGTGGGGACCGGGGGGAACGTGAGGGTCCCTCTCTGAAGGTGGCAGCCCCGCGGCTCATGCTTCTTTACACCCGAGCCCGACGTGGCCGTGCGGTCACCCCCCGGGAAGGGGCAGCCCGAAGCCCGGTGACTGAAGCTGTGAGGGTCGCTCCACAATGCAGGGCTCGGCCCCCCAACCCACGGGGCTTTACAAATATTTTCCGAAGGCAGGGGCGCGCGTCCAATATTCGGGGCAGGAACGGGGCCTCCAAGAGAGGACGAGGAGGAGCCTCGCAGGCGGCCTGGGACGGTGATCTCATTCGATCTGCACTCAGCCCTGCGAGGGCGGGGGGCTGCGGGGTGGCCTCAGCCAGAGCCCTGTCCTTGGGCCTCCGTGGGGCCCCAGCAGGGGCGGCCTCTCGGCCCCTCCAGCCCCTCCTGGAGCGCCTCCAGCCCCAGGAATGCGCCCATCGCCCTGCGCAGCCCCACGCTCACCTCCAACCAGGGGGCAGGTGCGCCCTTTCCTGGCTCCACTGAGGAAGAACCTGTGTGGTCTGTGTGTGCGTTTCTTTTATTTTTTGTTGTTGTCACTCCTCACCTGAGGACACTTTTCCCATTGATTTTTAGAGGGGGTCGAAGGAGGAAGAGAGAGAGAGACATATCAATGGGAGAGACACATCGATGGTTGCCTCCCACATGTACCCCGACAGGGCTGAGGATCGACCTGCAACCCGATGCATGGCCTTGACCCAGAATCAAACCCATGGCCCCCTGGTGCTCGGGCAATGCTCTAGCCACTGAGCACACCGGCCAGCGCCGAGCCTGCCTCTTCAAGATCAACCGTGAGCGACTCAAAGCCGGGTCTGAACTCTGGCGGATCCTGAGGGAGCACAGTTTGCTCCCCCGGATGTGCCTGTTGGGGTGACGACTGTTGTATGCTGGTTATTTTGAGAAACAAAAGACTCAAGAAAAACACAAAACCAAACCCTGGTGCTTCCCGCCACTGCCTGAAAGAATTCGGATGGAAGCCTGCTCAGGGCAGCTGCCTCACAGGCACCGCGCGCCCACGGGGACCGGGTGTGAGGGGCAGGGAGGGCCCGTCGAGGACCCCGGGGTCCAAGTCCTGTGTCCCACTGTCAAGGGTGGCCCAGCAAACATTTCTTTACCAAACAGCTGCCTTTCTACCTCCACGCGAACCGCCTTCCTGAACTTCTGCAGTCCCCAGCCGCCCCGATCGCCTTCGCTCAGGGGGCACGGGGGCCTCGACGCCCCCAGCGGTGTCCTCGGGCCCCCTTTTCTTACGAAACCCATGTGCACAAATGTATGTAACACATTTGGTCATGTTCTCCGGTTTCTCTGTCTCATGTTGATGCGGTGGTCAGTCCAGGCGGAAGAACTTAGGAGGGAAGCAAGCAAACTGAGAAGGTGTCTGAAATGCAGACGCAGGCCCGGCTGGTGTGGCTCAGTGGCTGAGTGTTGAGCTAGGCACCAGGAGGTCAAGGTTCGATTCCTAGTCAGGGCACATGCCGGGGTTGCGGGCCGAATCCCCAATAGGGGATGTGCAGGAGGCAGCCGATCCACGATGCTCTCTCATCACTGATGTTCCTCTCTCTCCCCCACCCTCTCTCCCTCTCCCTTTTTCTCTGAAATCAATTAAAAGAACATATATTTTTTTAAAGTGGAATCTTCACAATCTGGAATGCCCTCCACGCACACCACCCCTCCTCCTCAAGGCTCAGCCCCCAAGCCGCATCCTTCTGGAGCTTCCTGTGACAGCCCTGAGGAGAACGGCTCCTCCTCCCTCATCTTGATTTAACTCAAGGTGGGGACGAAGGAGGGCCAGCTCACCAGCGGGGGCCCTCCACTGTGGGGCAGGGACGTCTCTGCTTCTGGGTGAGGCGGGGAGGGTGAGGCTGGAGTGGAAGGAATGCCACGGAACGCTGTCCCCAGGACAGGCCCACCCTGCCAGCGCCCGCAGCGGGATAAGGGCAGCTGTCCACCGCTCGGCTGTCAGCTGGCACCCGTATCCGGTGGCAAGCAGGGCATCTAATAAATCTGCCCACACCAACTACCAGAACCCAACAAAACCAAAGAAGAACAACTGAGCAGGGTGAGCAGTTCTTGATCCAAAAATTGAAGCAATGCAGCTTCAGAGAGCAGCTGGGAATTCAATGCGACAGGAATGCAACAGTCAGCATAGCAACTGCTGGGTAACAAATGGGAATGCTGGGCCGAAGGCCAGACCCTGGGGGCCCGTCCCCGATTCCCACCTGCTGGGTTGTCCTGGGACGGTGGGCAGCTCCTGGCACCTCTGCACTTCCAGGGGCAGGACAGCGGATGGGCAGTGGGTCTGAGGAGCAAATGGAAAGGATGTCAGTGAAGGGCTCGTCCGGCGATGCGAATGGCCACATGTTCTGTAAACAGAAGGCACTCACCACAGAGACAGGACGTCGGTCACAGAGGCGGTGTCCTCAGCCCTGCCTGGCACACGATCCGCACAGGGACCTGCACAAAGGCACAGAAGACCGTTACAACCCTTGGCCACGCTGCTAAGATCAATAAAGACCAAAGCCATAGAGGACAGAAACGTCTTCAACTGCGTGGACGCTCCACCTAAACCTCTGTGCTAAAATCTTCGTGTGGGTCAACTTTAACTTCTACAGGTTCCCCAAGCCACCCACCCACCCACTGATGATGAGAACATGGGGCCGTGGGGCCATCCAGGGACCCCCCACTGAGGATGCTGTTAAAATGAAGCATGAAGAGCTCTCCCAGCCTCCCCCGCAAAAACCCCCCAACAGCTGCCATGGCAAATCCCACGATGAGGCCCACTGAGGGGAACCCCCGGCCTCAGACTCCCTCGTCAGCTCTGTGCGAAGAAAACGCTGGTAGCCAACGGAGAACACCAGCTCCCAAAGAGGGCGAGCGCAGCCGCACAACTCCCAGCGGCCTCTCGACGCTGCCCCACTCCGCTGCCCCGGGATCGCCACGGCGGCCATGCTCACGCAGCAC